TAGGGAAAAAATAGACTTGAAAGAAAAAAAGAAGGTTGCTCACTCACTTTGGCCTATTTAAAATGCCAATAAATGTTCTGCATGTTACTTGGAAGGAAACCATGTGCTCTTAATTTTGAAAAGTAAATTGCATAAGAAAATATAAAGCTGGCAAAAAGTTTAAATTAGAATCTGGTGCTGATGTCTGAAACGCCGCTACAGTTACATGCAACGGAGATGAGAAATGGACCGAATGACTACAGTCTAATTGAAATACAAAAATCCCTTTATTTTTCACGAGCTCTCACTTCAAGCCCATGAAGCATTGACTTGGACCGGTTTTTAGGGAAGAGGCTGGAGCATGACCGCATCCTTTATCCTCGCAGCAATGGAGTACACCGACCTCACTGTCTCTGTCCCAACACATTATGCACCAAACCGCAGCCAACCCCATCACCAAATTCAGCCTCAAATAGCCCCGAGGGCATTTTAGAGTCACAGAACCAAGGCAATGCAGAGTTAGGATCAAATTCACTCTTGACTTACTCCCTGAGGCTCAGGTCTAGAGTCATTTTGGTGTTGCTTCAGCAGGTTTTACAGCAAGTGACTAACATCTCCCAGCAGATGAAGCTGCAATAACCCTTCAACGCTCTTCACTGCTGAGTGTACTCGAGCTGCTGAAATAGCGCATCACTTTTATAATCCTCCAGTGGATGATGACAACTCTCGAAACCGAGTTCCCAAAGCTTTCTGCGTCGGGCTCCCTTGGCTTCACTGGGAGATGACTGCATAGGTCTCAGTTTGCTATGTTTAATTTTGTAAGTAACAAATTGTTTAAAAGGATCGCAATGATCCTGTCTAGGATAATAACCTCAAATAGTAGCCCACAAGTAACAGCCCTATTTGAACCACTGATATGCAGCTTCCACCCCTGTGCATGCCAATACTTCCTTGGCATTTTCTCACCTGGAAAAACATTAAAATTAGTGCATGTGTTTGAACAGGGCCTTCTGTGAAACCATCAGACAAAATGCCCCTTCTGAAAGGGAGATTTGTGTCTCTGTAAATTGTTACGTTGGAGCAACGTGACAGAGATGGATGAGGGACACACAACATTTGTTATTGGGAGTGGATTATTTCTGAAGGAAACCAGTCCAGTCTGGGGAAAGGAAGTCTGGAGTAAAAACAAATTTGATGATGGAGGAGGAATGGAAAATAGGGAACAAAGTGGAAACACTCAGTGACAATGACTCCCTTTTTACTCATGAGCA